ACCCGAAATCCTGAAATCCTAAGACCCCACAGAGCTCCCGAAACACGCCCAGCGGCCCTGGGCTCCATGTCCAGCAGCAGCGCCCGTGGGATGTAGTGCTCGTCGTCGGCTTGGTAGAAAAAAACATCCTGGCCCAGTTCAGGGGGATTAGGGTTTAGGGTTCAGGGTCTAGGGTTTGGGGTTTAGGGGTCTAGGGTTTAGGGGTCTAGGGTTTAGGGTTTGGGGTTTAGGGTTCAGGGCTGGCCCGGTTCGGGGGTTTAGGGGTTTAGGGCTTCGTCGTCAGCTTGGTAGAACAAAAACATCCTGGTCCACTTCGGTTGGGATGTAGAAGCACGGTATAGGGTTTGGGGTTGTTGCAAACTAAACTTAACTAAACCCTATAAGCCCCAAGGTCTAAACCCTAAACCCTGCAGTAGCCCCTGTAGAGCCCTTTTTCTGCACTCTTATACTGAACCTTTTTACATTAGCGAAAACCAGAGTGATGGTCCTTTCGGTCATCACCAGCCGTGGCGAAGTCTTCAAGGATGCCACGCTGATCTTGGGAGTTTCGAGGGTTTACGGGTTAGCATGTGAGTTCGAGGGTTACCTTGATTTGAGAGTTTAGTGTAGGTCCGCACAGAGCTTGAAAAGGCAGGCAGTTTTGGGAAGCAGGTATTGCCCATAGGCCCCATAGTAGTTCCTTTTTGGGGCTACCTTATAGGATTCTATATATGAACCCCAAAAAGGAACTACTTCAGGGCCTATGGGTGGCTTCTAAGGTGTACATAATCGCCATGACCTCCTGCTGCTCAAGACCTCAGCTGCCAGAACCCCCACAGCCCAACAGCGGACGAACCTAAACCCTAAAACCTGAACCCCTAAACCCTAAACCCTAAACCCTAAGCCTAAACCTGCGCAAACCATCCAATGTTCGAACCTCTACTGATGATACATACCGTACGTTTGTCATGATAATCTCGATCTCAAACCTGCATCTCCCCAAGCAGGCCGACTGCAGATTCTCAGGCCCTGAAAAAGGCAGAGGCATATTCTAATTATTAAGGCCCCCCAAACCCTAACCCCTTATAGTAGCCCTTATAGAACCCTTTAAGGAACCCTTTACAGGACCCTAAACCCTTATAGCAGCCCGGCTCTGAAAAAGGGCAGTTTTCTAAATCTGGGTCCCTTTTTAGGTCCCCAATATTGTACTATATAAAAAGGATCCCAAAAGGGACCCTATTTTAGAGAACCACTCAAAAGCAGTGGCATCATTCTGCCATCCCCGCCTAGCAAACGCAGACCCCTCTGATCCTTCTTTCTCGACTCCAGGTTTGGTAGGGTGCCAGTGAAGTCACTTATTAGGGTTTAGGGTTTAGGATTTAGGGTTTAGGGTTAGGATTTAGGATTTAGGGTTTAGGGTTTGGGATTTAGGGTTTAGGATTTAAGGTTTAGGGCTTAGGGTTTATAAGTAGCAAGACCTAACGCGGCTGGACAATAACACCTTCTATGCTTGCCTGTGGGCTGTCTGCAAGTCCCCGGAGCACGGCAAACCCTTCAAGTCCAAGATGCTGATGCCGTGTTCTGCACAGAGCAGCTTCCAGAATTCAGCACCGATCTGGTTGCCACATTGCCCCACCTTCGGTGAAAGCTCCAACTAGTATTAAGGGACCACAGCAGGGACCCCTAGAAGGGACCCCGAAGCCAAACACCCTATATGACCCTTATATACCCCCTTATACAGGTCTCATAAAGCCCGTATAGAACCCCAGGGGTCCCTTTAAGGGTCT